AGATAAGTGGTTCAAAGATGTGTAAAGGCCAGGGTGGATATCTGTGTGCATGCAGCAACCCCATTTTCCAAATTCCATAGAAGATGCTCAGTGGCCTCTGGGTTTGGTACTGGGACAGCTTTTCCATTTTCTATTTACATTTGTTAGGCAAATCAGAAGTGCAGTTCAGAAGGAGGAAACAAAGGTGAATGGAGTATCCAGTAATAGATCCTTAGCAGTAATCACTGTGTATGAACACACAGCTGCACAGGTGGTGTTGACACATATAACATTAAAGATAAATGAAAGACTGTATCTTAAAGAGGCACTCCAAATGAACATACCCCAACATTAAAGCTTAAAGTGCAAAGCCATTTGGGTTTCCCATTCTGTAACCCCACCTGGACTGTCTGGAAAGCTCGAATAAATTTTTACAAGTGTCCAGGAGAGCATGCAGTGTGAGTTTTACCTATGAGTTTATCTATTAGATCACGTTCCACCCTTCCTTTCCCCACCTGCCCTGCACATCCTTCCCTAAGGCAGCTGTCAGGTGGACAACGGATGGGCGGTAGGGATGAGGCTGGGTTTAGATTTTGGAGCATTCATTAACTGTGTGATCCTGAGCTAATCATTCTGAGCCCCAGTTCCCATTTATTACACTGGGATTAGTAATACCTGCCTCATAAGGCTGCTGCAAGAAATGAATGGGATAATGCGCTTGCCTCATGATAAGGGCTGGATAAATCTTCATTTTCTCAGTTCTTTCCCCATAATGTTAATGGAAACTGGGGACAGATTACCTCTTGACTCTGGCTAGCCATGTGTGTCACTGATGTATAGGGAGTGTGATGATCAATTACACATAATTAACAATTTCATGTGGATTTATCATAACTGTCTGTGTTAATCTTTGTTAGAATTTGCTTACTGAGGACGGTCAGCTCTTCGTTTTTTAAAATGCTGAGTAAAATGCTGCAAAGCAAAGAGATATTAATAGAGGACAGATCATTGTTTTTCTGCTAAAATGCAGCATAACCTTTTGAGATTTTGGTATCAGGAGAGAGAGATCTAGCACTTTAACCTACTGTTTACCAGACAGATGAAGGCAAACTTTGTTTTGAATGCCCCCTCTGACTTTTCGTGTCACCCTTGTTCTGTTTCTGCTTTTCCATCTCCCCACTAACCCGATGGCAGCCCTGTTCACATCTACTAGTGATTTGGTTTTCTTAGGGGAAGTTACCTTCTTTTTTCTTTTTTGTACAAAAGTAATATATATCCATTATGAGGAAAAACCGTATGTATACGTGTATATACATATGTAAAAGTCATGTGTAATTACTGTTGATGCCATCCCGGATCTCCACAGACAAGGAGCTGTTACCATCCCCACTCCACTAATGATGAAGAGGATGACATGACCAGGATGACACTTACAACTAACATTTATTAAGCATTTACTGTGGGCCAGGCGGTGTTCTGAATGCCTCATCTGTATTAACTCAGCTTTATTTTTTCTCTTAACACTTATACCTGCCATACTATACATTTATTTGTTTACTGTCTGTTTCTCCCCACCAGAATATAAATGCCTTGGGAAGAAGTATGTGGCCTGTTTTTATTCATACCTACATCCCCAGGGTATCCCAAAGTGCCTTGTACTGTAACAGGCATTTAAAAAATGTTTGTTGAATAAATAAATTAGTCTTCGTAACAATGTGGGTGAACCTCATCGCATCTGGTGAGGGCCTGAATACAGAACACAACAGTTGAATAACAGAATTTGCTCTCTCTGCCCTACGTGTCTTCAAGGTGAGACATGATCATCCCGAGGCCCTGTTTCTGCAAATAAAGGCAAGGTTGAGGAAAAAATAAAGAAAAGGGGATGCATGTCTTCAAAGCCTTTCCTTCCCTTCCGGATGGCACTCTGATGCCACCATCCTCTCTCCCCTGTTTGGAAGTCCAGCCTTTATGTCTGAGGCACACAACCTGTACTCAAAGAATCTGATAAAACATGGTTCACTCTACGGTATAAATGATCATAAGGCATTTCTTTTGACTCTTTCTGGGTGTTTGTATTTTATTTAAGACAAAACCTTCTGAATGTTTGGAATGTTTGGAATAACCAAGAGGCCTCTGGGAGAAATATCTTTGGGTAAGGAAGTCCACACATAAGGCTCACCACTAAGGTTGACTGTAATTTAAAGTAAAGCACTCCAACTCCGCTGGTATAAGGAAGTTAATGTACTTTTCAAAATGTTTTGACTCCCAAGGAGTATCAAGGGATAAAAAAAAAAAAGGGAGGAGTGAATATGCGTCAGAAAAGGCAATTAAATAGCATCCTCAGTTGCTTAAGGCTACATATTTTGTATCTGTTGCTTCAGCAATCATTATTACCTCATCAGTTGTACAAACTTCTATGCATGATATAACTCAGATGGTCATTTGCACATGACCAGTCAGTGGCTGCACAAGGAACCTCAACCACATTCCCCCAACTCCTGGTCCCCTGTTCAAATACTCCTCATCTTTTCTTTCCGAATGTAAGCTGAATATGTATGATGAATAGATGTCATTTCAACAAGACAGAATTTGTGTATCTGAATTTAAAGTGCAAGAGAGACCAAACATCATCATCTTTTATAGTAAACTGTGTGTGTGTGTGTGTGTGTGTGTGTGTAATATGAAGGTCTTTCCCAAAGGAACATGACCTCTGACCTCGGGTGAGCATGCTCTCTGGTTAAGATCATTTTTTTTCAAATGTAGACTCCACACCCAGTGTGGAATCCAATGTGGGGCTTGAACTCACGACCCCGAGATCAAGATGTGGGCCGATATCAACAGTCAGATGCTCAACTGACTGAGCCACCCACATGCCCCAAGATGAATTCTTTCCCCAAGAGTTTAAAGTGATCTACAGACTACCTAATTAGAACCTCACTGCTCATCTCCACTATCCCTTAGTTCCTTAACTGATCCTGAGAGGTTAAATGACTCTGACAGGGTCATTCAACTCCAAGTGGCCTTTTCTAGAACCTGGCTCCCTTAGGCTTTCAGACTGATAAAAAAGGATGAGAGTTCTGAGTCAGCTTACTAGATTCATCTACATAGAGTCTGATAAATGTGTAAGTCCATTTGATAGGCTTAATATAGGAAAAATTTCACTATGCAAATCCCTCTTTGAGATAAAAATTTCACAACATTTTACTGATTTTCCTCATACTCAACAACCAAGTTTACTTTGCCATTGTTGCTTTGACTAGTACTACTAGCTTCAGACCATGATCAACATGCTCTTGTCTATGAAGTCATGACAATCAGCAGATCTATTTTTTAAAGTATTAGAGATTGATTTATATTTCTAGGCAAAACAATGTCTAAGCAAAGGGATCCACAAGGAAAATGCCACAGAGCTCTCATCTTAGAACAGTTCAATGGAAGAAGATACAGAATTTCTTCTTTGGATGTCTCAGAAGCATGATGCTCACTTAACTTTTAAATTCTAAATCTAGGGGTGCCTGGGTGGCTCAGTCACCAAAAGCGTCTGCCTTTGGCTCAGGTCATGATCCCAGGGTCCTGGGATTGAGCCCCGTATCGGGCTCCCTGCTTGGTGAGCCTGCTTCTCCCTCTCCCTCTGCTGCTCCCCCTGCTTGTGCTCTCTCTCTCTGTCAAATAAATAAATAAAATCTTAAAAAAAAATAAAAATAAAAAATAAATTCTAAATCTAGAAATGGTTGCCAAATTAGGGTATCAGAAATTAACAAATCACATAAAAAACATGAGCTAATAAATGGCCTTTATCATCAAAAACTCAATTTCATTAGCGGGGCACCTGGGTGGCAGTTGGTTAAGCAACTGACTCCTGGTTTTGGCTCAGGTCATGGTCTCAGGGTCGTGAGACTGATCCCCATGTGGGGCTCTGCACTCAGTGTGGAGTTTGCTTAAGACTTTCTCTCCCTCCCCGCCCCCCACATGCATTCTCTCTAAAATAAATTTAAAAAATTCAAATTTACCACATATACAAAAAAATTGGAAAGTGAATTTTATAAGAATATGACTCATTTTATAAATAAAAAGCTTAAAACTACAGTGTCTTTTAATTAGCAAGTATCAATGGAGCATTAAAAACAATTTACAAAATTGCATTTTACACACATGGGTTTTTAAGAACAAATGGGATTTGTAAATCAAGAAACATGTTAATAATGTTTCAGGTTTAATTTGCCTATTAAGAATTCAAATAATCTTGTACAATAAAAATGCAAATATCTATAGCTATAACAAATTAATATTACTCATTTCTCATTATGTTATTCTCTCTTGTAAAATAAAAACTCGTCATATTCTCCAGGAGGAATTTGTGTTTAATAATATGATCATTCATTAAGTGTAAAAAAATTTACATGGACATATGACTAATTCCAACCTGCAACCTCACTGGTTTTTTTTTTTTTAAATAAAATAGCTTTAAATTATTTAATTTCTTATGATTATAGGCAGTAACCTGAATAAAATTTAAATTCAAAAAAGCAAATTATTGCCAAGGAGAAAAATATATACCTCCCCCAAATTTTAATATATTTTAATATATTAGGTCATTAACCAATTTAACTGAAATGGGGAAAAAAACTAAAGTAACAGAATAAAGCAACTCTAAATTGCTCAAATCCCAGAATGGCTAATTCAAGAATGGTAATAATTTAAGACAAAATACTCTGGAATTAAATATATGTACAGATCACCTATAATCCAACCAGTTAAAAACATGTCTTAATGGGACACTTATACTCTAGTTCCTTAAAAGTGTGTTAACTCATATACATATTTACTTGAATACAGTCTCCCCAAATTGAGAGGGCATGGCAAAATGTAGTAGTGTGCATCTATCCACTTGGTTCCACATTTCAACCAGAGAAGCATCCATCAACACCCTAGCTTAGAATAAATTCTAGTAAGAGCAGTGTTCTGCAAACCAAAATTCTAAACCAAGGATTCTTGCAAAAGAAGAAAGATTACGTGCTTACCGTATAGAGTTCATTAAGAACCTTCATCAAATCCTCATGAAGTTGGAATGCAATCTCTTTGCTCTATAATTAAGAAGAAATTAAGAATATTTAAAAATGTAATAGAAACTTGTTTCTAAATTATTTATATCTTAAAAAGTCCAGTGACTGAAAATAGAAGAATGTATATAATACAATGGAAGGCCAGCATACCCCTAAATAATAAACATCTTTGACCAAGCTGCCCCCTTTCTTTTCTTTTTTTTTTTTAATAAGTAAGCTCTGTGCCCAACATGGGGCTTGAACTCAAGACCCTGAGATCAAGGGTCACATGCTCTACTGACTGAGCCAGTGAGGCACCCCCCCGCCCTTTTTCTTTTTAATTACAGTATAGTTGACACACGTTACATTAGTTTCAGGTGTACAACATAGTGATTCAACATCTCTGTATGTTATGCTGTGCTCACAAGTGCAGCTACCATCTGTCACCACACAATGTTATTACAGTATCATTTATATTCCCTATGCTGTATCTTTCATCTCCATAACTTATTCATTCTATAACTGGAAGCCTCTATCTCCCACTCCCTTTCACCCATTTTCCCCATCCCCCTTCCTCCCTCCCATGTGGCAACCACCAGTTTGTTCTCTACATTTTTGGGTCTGTTTCTGCTTGTTTGTTTTGCTTTTTAGATTCCAGATGTAAATGAAATCATACGGTATTTATCTTTCTTTGTCTGACTTACTTCACTTAGCATAATACTCTCTTGGTCCATCCATGTTGTTGCAAATGGCAAGATCTGACTCCTTCTTATGACTCAGTGATATTCTACTATATACACACACATACACCCCCCACATCTTTATCCATTCATCTATCAATGGACCCTTGGGTTGCTTCCATATCTTGGCTATTGTAGATAATTCTACAATAAACACAGGGGTGCATATATCTTTTCAAATAAGTGTTTTCATTTTCTTTGGGTAAATAACCTATAGCAGAATTACTGGATCATATGATACTTGTATTTTTAATTTTTTTTTAAAGATTTCATTTTTAAGTAATCTCTACATCCTATGTTGGCTTGAACTCATGAAACTCAAGATCAAGAGTTGCATGCTCCACCTACTAAGCCAGTCAGGTGCCCCTCTATTTTTAATATTTTGATTTCTGCAGTGGCTGCACCAATTAACATTTCCAGCAACAGTGCACGAGGGTCCTCTTTACTCCATACCCTTGCCAACAGTTATTTCTTATCTTTTTGATTCTATCTAAATGGCCCTTTCTAGATACTAGATGTGTGCACCAACTGTCACCAGAGACTGGGTAGAGGCAAATAAGTAGAGTCTGAATGGCTCTCCCACCATCTGAGTCAGACTTTATCAAGAAGAAAGAAAAAGTAAGTTTTCAGAACAGAATTTTACTTAGTTGCATTATTCATTAAAGAATCAGAAATAGGGGCGCCTGGGTGGCTCAGTTGGTTGAATGCCTGACCCTTGACTTTAGCTCAGGTCTTAAATCTCAGGGTCATGAGTTCAAGCCCCACATTGGACTCCACACTGGGTGTGGAGCCTACTTTAAAAAAAAAAAAAAAAAGATGAATTCCAGCATCCCATCTTAGTACTGTCACAAAGAAATTTTGTGATTCCCGAAAAGCTAAGTTAGAAACCAAAACAGAAATTAACTCTCCCTTTCAAAATAATATTTGACTGACTATAATTTTCACTTTAAGAAAGCACTTTCAAAGCAGTGAGATGGTGAGGCCACTTATCATCCATATACTTTTGCTTCTGGATTTATTAACTTTTTTTTCAAGTTTTTATTTGAATTCCAGTCAGTTAACATACAGTATAATATCTGTTTCAAGTGTACAATCTAGTGATTCATCATTTCCATACAACACCTGGTGCTCATCTGCATTTATTATTTTCATTAAGATGAAAAAGAGTTCTATGCTTCCGCTCAGTTGGTAAATAACCAGCATTCAAAACAGTCTTCCCTGGGCTAATTCTGTGACTTTGATATATGAGTATTTGAATATTTTTTCCAGCAAAATCTATAAGTTATTTTAAAGGAAATGATATATCCAAATTAATTTTTATTTTCTTCCTGTTTTGAGTTCATGATGTAGTCAGCTACAGAGAGTGGAAAAAATGTAGTGTGGCTTCATCTATAGTTTAAATCAAGAACAACATCCACTGGATCATTTACATGTCCCTCACTGGACTGTCCGCATTGGGGGTAAGGGCCATATCTTTACCAGCTCTGTGACTCTGGTGTCCTGCACAGTGCTTGGGAACCAGGCCAGGACTAGGGAGGGCAGGTGAGGCACCAATGGTATGGTATTTAAGGCGGCATTCCCTCCCTGGCTAGACCAGGTCCTGCTGGCGCACATGGGAAGCTTCCAATAAACACTTGCTAAATAAACCCACACACAAGCTGAAATACTGTATCTGTGTAATAGCTCAAGCAGTTACTACAAGTGCTGAAGGCTGGCCACTGGTGAGAGAGAAGAAAGGAAAGTCCCACAGGCCACTCTTAAGAAAATGTAAGGGAGGGCGCCTGGGTGGAACAGAAAGTTGGGCATCTGACTCTTGCTTTCAGCTCAGGTCATGGTCTCGGGGTCATGGGATAGAGCCCCATGCCGGGCTCTGTGCTTAGTGTGGAGTCTGCTTGGGATTCTCTCTCCCTTTGCCCCTTCCACTCATCCTCCCTCTCTCTCTCTCAAATAAATAAATAAATCTTAAAAAAATGAAAATATTAGGATCTGGATGAAACACAGTCCATCTGCAAACCCACGACAGTCACTGGGTCAGGCCTCCCTCAAAAAAGGCCAAATGTGATGAAGCAAAAACTCTTGAAAGATAAAACAGTGTGGGAAGATGACATCAGAGCAGTACCCGAACTTTGAGGAATTCAAATTCATTAGCAGCACTAGTCACTGGGTCTTCTTGACGTGTTAAAGAGTACTGCTGTTTATCAAGCTCTGCTAACTTCTAAAATCCTTAAATTGGAGTTAGAGACTTTATGTTTTGCTGTGTCCCTGATATGTGAAGAGGTGGATTATGAATCACTGAAGGGTGAAAGAAAAGTCACAAGTGGGCAAATGAAGCCAAATGAAACTCATTTAATTTTCCTCAAGTCTTGGTTATTCTGACCGTATACATTACACCGCAATCTCCTATGTCTTCAGTTCGGTGTTATTTTAATATCAAATTTCATCCAAGGATCTGGGTCACCAATTCAGAACTCTCTAATGGGATCAAAGGCCACTAAGTGACTCTGCTCAGCTGTCCACATTTCAGGTAGAAAGTCCAAAAATAAAGTATTTCTTGGCAAAGACTTAGGACAATAACAACGACAAAAAATCCCTTAGGTCCGATTAGCCCTGAACAAGAATATTTAAAATCAGATTGAAGACTTAGGTTTGGGGTGATAAGAGTCCTGCCAAGCTATCCTAGGTCAAATATCTCAGAACAAGCAAGAAGATTCTTTGTACATTTCACATTTTATAAGATTTCAGGTAACGAGTAGAAGAAATCTGGCATCACAAATTGTGCTCTACCAAGCATACTCTTACATTTTTCTTTCACCTTTTCCCAGAGGCCCTGAAATATAAAAAAATTTGTCTAAGAGGCCATATTGCATAACGCTTAAAAGCAAGGACTCTGGAGTAAGAATGCCTGGGTCTTAAGTTTCAAAGACTTTGGATTCCCGTGGGCCTCAGTTTCCAGATCTGTAAACTGAATATAGTCACTGTGCCTATCTCACAGGGTTGATGAGAGCATTATCAGACAACACATACATAGCATTTAGATTAATACCTAACACACAGTAAACATTCCATAAATATTATAATTATTTCTTTCCCAGACACTATTTGTAATGGCAACTTCCTTGAGCAAAAAGGCCATGTTGTATTCTTCTTTCTCATGGTCTGTGAGGACAATTGCTGCATTGACTTTCATGTAGAAAGTGCTTGGCAGATACTGGTTGATTTGATTTTCCTGTCCCTCCCCATTGCCCTGGCCACTAGATCTCTCCAAGTGACGCCTGATTTGGAAGGGCCTCAAGTATTGTGCTCTAGCCCTCGGGCTTTACTTTCCATCCGTAGCCCCTTGCCACATAGGTACACTATACTTACCAGTAATGTCTACGTTCCATTTTCATGGGGGTCCCACCACTAGCGGTACTAGATGAATTAATCGAACATCCACTAGGAAACAGAAATTTCCTCAAGTCAACATGAAAAGATATAAACAATCATGAAAGAGGACTTAAGGATCCTGGTTCCCATGGGAATTTCAGATGTTCTGAAAAGTTGGTGAGGAGTTCCTTTCAGGTTAGTAAACCCCTGCCTAGCCTCATGACACACAACCAAAGTCACTGCCTGTTTGCGTTAAATCACAGTCCAAATCCTCCATGGTCTAGAAATAACTTCAAAATTAACTACTATCTTCCCAACACAATTTCTTTAGTCTGCAAAGGTTGTTACAGAACTGGACTGTGCTCCGAAGCACTAGTTCACGTGACTAATCCTGAAACGTGAATTCACAAATACACACGGGCTGGACACGACATCAAGTCCTCGTCCGAGTGCTGGGGCATGCTGCCTGTGCTGAGAGCATGGAAACAGTGAAAGGATCACCTCATGTTAGCCCCACCTCAACTATACACATGTCTCCAAATTACTACACAAATGGTGAAAAACAATCCCTTCTTCAAAATGCTACTCTAGACCCCAAAAGAAATGGTCTTAAACCAAAACATGCCTACTGGGGCACACAGGGAGTGCTGGCAATATTAGACTAATGAACGGAAACCCTCCACTTAGAAAATATCTGGATTATCTGGGGCGCCTGGGTGGCTCAGTCGTTAAGCGTCTGCCTTCTGCTCAGGTCATGATCCCAGTGTCCTGGGATCGAGCCCAGCATCCGGCTCCCTGCTCAGTGGGAAGCCTGCTTCTCCTCCCACTGCCCCTGCTTGTGTTCCCTCTCTAGCTGTCTCTCTGTCAAATAAATAAAGAAAATCTTTAAAAAAAAGAAAATATCTGGATTATCAAAGCCCATCAAAATTAAGTAGG